CAAAACTCTAGGGATAAATGATGCAAAATATTTGTTATAGTAGCAAAATGGAACGCCTACTTCACAGTGGTGATCTAGGCGTGTGGAAACAAATGATGGTGAGGTAGTGAGATGCTTTCTTGATTGCAGTGTTAAGACGGAAAATTTTGCGTAAAAAATAAATACTAGACATTTCGCAGCCATATGTGAGATGGGTATCAATAATTGGTTTGTTTATTGATGTTACTCTAGTGGTGCTATTATGATTAGCCATAATAAAACGTGCAAATACATTAATTCGAGCGAGTCAGTAAGGTAGGCGGTACCGGTATCCCAGATGGAGGCTGCATATTCCAGCGTTGACGGCACTGATGTTTTATATAGAAATTATTTTAACGACAAAGGCACCGGAAAAAAAATTATGTTTTAGCGGTTACTAATACTCTGTTATAACTTAAGGACTAATTAGTTTCTGAAATTGTAATCAATTGCAGTTGCAGAGATTAAGTTACATTCGTCGGTCTTCGTACTCATGCCCCATACTCAAAGAGCTTCCTTGCACTACCGTGCTGTTGCGACCAAGAAAGCAGTCACTGCACCGACTTCGTTCGTGGACTGCAACTTACAGAAACAGTGACAATGTCGTGCAACACAATAATTTCTACTTTATGGCTTTTCTTGTAATAGGGATTCCCAAAGCACATGCGGCAGATCATAAGTCCCAAGCTGCCGCCAACCAAAATGCCAGAGAAGCCGCGAGGAGTTACGAGAGGACTAGAACATTAAGCGTGTCTTTGCCCCTCTGGTGTAGGGGTCTGTGAATATTCTAAAATTTCATCAATATGCAAATAGCGTTTGCTATTCATTTTGACCCACACCGCACCGGAATTGTCCGAAGAATGAGAGTCTTCGGAAAATTCGAGAATTATAATTGATGCCTTTAGAATTCGCGCCTCGCCTTTTTATACTGATGCCCTCGTGTCGGGCTTTACTGCACGCGCATCAAGCTTCCCTGCTTTGCACCGGCGCGTTTGGAGGAGTGGCTGACGCGGACGAGCATCTTGGTTGTTTCGATGGCCTCAGAAATAGTGCTCGCTGTCGTAGGTCAGCCATTTTGGTAATGATCATGGTTTAAAGGACAATGCTGTCCAAATAATGTTAACCTGTATTCAAATAAATCGGGTAGCTATTGCTTCGCGTGCCATGTCAAATTATGTGTTGCCCAACTTGCCTTATCAGAGGCTTTACTTCGTTTATTGAATGTGAGTATTTGAAACGCGCAATTAAACTCCCCATGAAAATACAGTCGTCGACCGGTTATTCGGACTTCGCAGGGACCGAAAAAACGTCGAAATAATAGAGCAGTCCGAAAAATCAGCAGATTGAAAAACTTGCCTTTATTACTTCTAAGTGGTCTTAAAAACGCCGTAAATAGTGCCTTCTTTCCTAGCGTTATGGTCGAGTACTTTCTGCGTTTCTTAACGACACATCCCGGCGGTAGAACAACAGATGGGGCCATGACGTCCAAACCAGCGCTGTCCGAACGAGATAAGAAGCGCAAATTCACGAGCGCAAAATGGCGACTGGCGACGCGAAGGAACGGAAAAGCAAAGCAAAGTGATAATCATGATGATGACGATGACGTGCAGCTAAATGTAAAAAAAGGTCTAACATAGCGTCACCTAGCGGTAGGACTCAGGAGTACTCAAGTAGTGGTGCCAAACCAAGCCAATCCATTTGCAGCCAACATAGAATTCAAAATGGCCGCTTCTCGGTGCTGTTTTCCGCTGATTGCTTGCGACGATTTTGTCCAAATAATCGAACTTTCGGACTTCAAGCTGTCCGAAACATTGGTCGTGAATAAGCACTATTTCTATGGGGTAAGTCACGGTTCCGCCTTTAGGTCCGAACTATCGAACAAGTCCGAATTATCGGAGTCCTAAAAATCGGTCGGCGACTGTAAACTGTTGCTTTCCATAGGTACAGAGCGCGACACTGTTAGCGCGAACAAGCGATCGCCAATTTTTCCAGTTTTTCTCCTTGAAACCAAGGGATGTGATCCAAGTTATTATTGCTATGGAAAGACATCATCTCGTTCTATAATGTAAGCGATAAAATTTCGTGCTCGCTAATACTATTTAGAAGTAAAATGTGAAAATGCGCTGATGTCGTGTTCCTGCTAACAGTGTCGCAATCTATACGTTGTTTCTGAAAAAAGAGTTCCAACTAGATCTGCAAAGTATTCACGCTTAGTTGACTTTCAATTTAAAATATTTTTATTTGAAAATGTTCTATTTGATTTGCAGTCAGTTCTTTCTGCTCACATTTGATTCATAGTTGCAAATTTGATTTTCGCACACCTCCACCACAAAATCCAAGATCCAACTCTCTGTAGTACTACACATAGAGGGCAAGCCGGCTAGGCAGACACTGGTCTGTTCACCTTTTTATGTCACATAAGTTTTCCACATGTAGGACCCTCAAGTCAAAATTAATTAAGGCGAAGATAAAATTAATGAGTAACTTCAGATTCAACTCTTTAAAGGGACCATGAAATGACCTTTTTACTTTTGACCAGATAACTTTTACATTAAACCTTCAATGTTCACTGAATGCCGAACAGGCATCCATTTTCGTCTCGGTTTATTAACTTCTACACAAAAAATTATTGAAATATCAAATTTTCTTTCTCTCCAACTCACCGCAAAACAAGTTGCGGCGTAATTTTGACGGCCGTGACGTACTCTGGCACAGGAACCGGAAGTTCTCTTGGCAGTAGGAGAATGGGTATGTTAGCGGCGGCGAGTTGGGGGTGCGCCGGTAGGTTTTACTGCGCTGATGTCACCTCTGACAGTGCCTCCCGACATAGTGCATGTGTAGAATGCGGTGTCAAGGCTACAGGACAATTCGAAACAAACAAAAAAATGGCGGCAGTTTGATTTGTGGTGGCGGTATGGTGGCCACTAAAAAGTTTGAAAGATCTAGCAGCAAGGCTTACATTGTCTGGATTTTCAGTCGCCGTTATGCTTACTACATTAACTATGTGGGGTGAGTGATGGTTCTGGAAAATTTTCCTAATAATCGGGCTCGTCCAAAACTTTTGCACCCGAAAAATTGGCCTCGGACTGTATATCATGTGCTGCATTTTAGTGTACACGGCATGTGTCATTGTTTATTGTTGTCAATTTATTGTTTCTCTTAAATTGATTATCCCTCTCTTTTTACATGCATTTAGTCCTTTTCTAAAGCGCAGCTCTTAGGCGCTCGTTCCCGTATTTGGCAGCGTTGCCGTCGCCACGCGCTTTGCATTATGGGACGTTACAGACCTATGCACCAATTCAGTTCCCCGCTAGATTTAGCCAAGAAACTGAATATGTGTGTAGGTCTTTGATGTCCCATAATGCAACACCGTGCATTCAGTTTCCCCACTAAATTTAGTGGTAAAACCGACGTCACATGGCCTCAACACCAATTCAGTTTCCCCACTTTAGTGGGGAATTGAATTGGTGTTAAGGTCACGTGATTTTAATTTTCTCGCTCAGTCTAGCAGAGAAACTAAATTTGTTCGTATGTGACTTGACACAAAGTCATGGGACGTCATTTTCCCTCTAAATTTAGCGGGGAAACTGAATTGGTGCTGAAGTCACTTAGTGTCAGTTTTTCAGCTAAATTTAGTGGGGAAACTGTGGGAGGGAGGGAGGTTATGAAGGATGAGGAGGACGGGAGAGAAGGAGAGGAGGAGATAATGAAGACCCTCCCTTCCTTCTTCCTTCCTACTCCGCTCCTCCTCCTTCATACCCTCCCTCCTTTTCCATACCCTTCCCTTCTCCTTCAATTCCCTCCTTCCTCCTTCTCTGTACCCTCCCCTCCTTCTCCTGCGTACCCTCCTGTCACGGTATATCGCAAAATCAAAGTACCTCAAGAGCTGTGCTCTAATTTTGCTTTACAGAGATTTGCAAACCTCTTTCAGTTTTTTTTTTCTTTTCATTTGCGCTCTGGCCTAATTTTGTCTCTGATATTGTGGAGATGAAATTGTTTAATACTTCATTGAAGGTATGAACCTTACTGTTTTGTTAAATGTATGTTCCTCCTTGCCACAGCCCATGGCCCAGCTGTACATAAAAATTAATTAATTAATTAATTACAACTTTTACCGTTTGTTCAAATTCAAGGAGCTCTACTTGAAAAAGTTAATGTTTGAACCCCTTTTCTGATTTAAATGACATTTACAAGGCTTGTTTCTGCTGATGTTGAGAACATTTCTGCCAAATTTTGTTAACCTGAGTGAAGTACAAAAAAAAAATTGCAAATGTTCGAAGATGAAAGTGGGCGTGTCTGCTAGGAAAACTGTTGTTTTGAAATTACTTATAAATTTGTTGTTTGATGCATTATATTTCTTTAGGACAGTTCAGAGCAGATAGCTGTGGAGCTATGCTAGTTCTTTATTATACCATCTTTCATGACAAAGAAGCCACTTAAACACAAGTACTGTTTTCTAGATTTCCATCCTTTCTCCAAAATTTTAGTTCTTGAGCATTAAAAAAGACAAAAATAAAACATACAAGCTCATAGCTATCTTCCCCATAAAATTTAACTTCAGGAAAACTCATAAAAATGAATCCAAGTTATGCAAGAACAAAACAAAATAGTTTTCTTAAAGCGAAATTTATGCCAAAAAGTGGAATGGAGAAAACTGCATTCAAGGTGCTCCAACCTCTACCTTTTCTTTAGCATAGGTGGACGAGAAATAATTTATAAAAAATTAACTATGCAGTGTAAAATAATGAAACTTTCTGGGAATACTCTCTAGATGTTGGTGGATATGAATACGGCAGTTTTCAAAATTAACCTTTTTGGCCGATGTTTTTTGTGGGTAGTGATACCTAATTCTTTCTTTAGTCTGTTTTTGAGCTCTCTCAGACTTTCCTCAGGTCTTATAACTCGTCTTGCTTTCCGTTTGTCTATTTCGCTTTGTGCTTTTCTATGGGCAGTGTTCAAATGTTTTGACCACTTCGTTGCAGAGCAAGAATGGGATCCTGGAACGGGCATCTGATTACATAGTCTACCTGAAAGATCTGAACGAGAAGCTGGTGATGGAGAAAGCATCAGATATGGAAGGTAGGAACAATCTTTATCTAAATAATAGTTTTAATAGTTGAGACGTGCATAAACAGAAGCTTAGATCTTGCATAGAAAGAAGCTTAGATCTTGCGTTTGAAGCTTGTGCGCTGCCAGATACCACCCTTCGAGGTCGAGCATCTGACAAACGAACCTTACGACCCTCGGTTTATCTCCGGGGTAGAATCTATTTTGACGACTTTGCCAGCCGCCAATCTTGTGGGCTTGCTTGGCATCCAACTAACTTAAGGCGAGACGCGGGTCTTAAAATGGTAAAAAATCGCGAAATTTGGGGTTTTTCAAAAATCACATGTTTGGATAGAATATAGTCTGAAGTACCTGCCTGCGAAGTTTCAATGTCCTATTCGACGTCTAAGTATAAAAAAAACGATAAATACGATGCCTCCGCGACGCTCAAATCGCGAATCCAACGCAAAAAAATAGTCAAACTGCGCGCCCGCGTCGCTTCACGACTGATCGTCGGATCGCGGCCATCTTGGTCTTGTTGGGGAGCTGGTTCTCTTCCCTACGTCCTCATCCCACTCACTATCGCGACAACCTTGGAGAGCGTCCGCATTCCGCGGGTTTTCACGACCGGAATAACGATTGCTCATTGGCCCGCGCGCGTACGTCACGGGTACGTCGTGCCGCGCGCACCTGTCATAGGCCAAGACGCGCCCCTTTCCACTTTTGCTCCTTTCCTCCTCTTGGCGCGCGCGCCTCCAGCAGCGCAAGGGGAGCGTGGAGAAGCGTCGTCTGCTTCGTTTTGGCCCGTCGCTTTGTTCGTTCCGCGGCTGAGTGCACGTTGTTTCGAAATCGTTTACGTTCGCGCGTTCGCGTCGGACATCGTTGGTTTCTCGCTACGAAGTTGCGGGAGTTTTATTTCGAGCGATCGAGATGCCGGGGGACTCTCGATAGAAAGAGAGTATGCGGCGGACGTTCGGGAGGAAGACGCGACGTGCGTGGAACAAGCGGAAGACATCACCTGCAAGTGCGCCGCTACGATCTGCGCCACTGCCGAACGCATTGGATCTGCCGGGACCATCGGCTAGCCTTCCCGTTGACGATGCTGCGGCCTCAAGCTCTGGTCCGGATGGCTCAAGTTTTGCCGGCACCACTCGCGTCGACTCTACCTACTACTCTACGGCCGAGCAAGCGCAGCGCGCCGAGCGATCGGAGCAAAGCAAGCGCGTTTTATCGGAGAAGTCGGCGACCCAGCGGAAGTTCGATCTGCTTGAAGTCAACGGATCATGCCAAACAAGCGATGCCGGGACCCAGTTTGTCATCGTCGACATGAAAGTCCTCAACGACCTCTTCGCGCACGCGAGGTGTGGAAGCTGCGGTGTGGGATCTCTCACGCTCAGCAAGGCCGCGGACAAGGAGTACGGCTTGGCCGTCAAGCTTGTGCTCGTCTGCAGCACTTGCGACTTCCAGAAGAAGCAGTTCTCCTCTCCCAGGGTTGCTGGAACAGCAAAGATCACCCCCTTTGAAGTGAACATGAGGGCCATGAAGGGGATCCAATCCATTGGCAAAGGAGTGACAGCCTTGGCAGACTTCTGTGCCTCCATGAACATTTCTCATCGGGGCCTGCACCACAAGACGTACCAGGGACACCTGAAAACGCTTGTGCGGGCATGTGAGAATGCAGCAACCGACAGTGAAGCCACCAGTGTTGCTGTCGTCAAGGGGCTCTACACAGGCTTCATGAACCCCATTGGCAACATCGATGTCATCTTCGACGGATCATGGATGACCCGAGGACGCAGCTCCCACATTGGTGTAGGCTGCATTGTGGAGTTGTACTCTGGCCTCGTCATCGACCATGTTGTGTACTCCAACTTCTGCCTTGGATGTGCCTTGGGACCGGAGCCCGAGGACGATGGCTACAGCGACTGGTACGCAACCCACGACTGCCAGAGGAACATTGACTGCAATGCTGGCCGTATGGAGGTGGAGGCTGCGCTCACAATGTTCCAGAGGTCTCTGACCAAGCATGGTCTCCGCTACACCACCGTCCTTTCGGATGGGGACAGCCGGACATTCCATGCCTTGTCTGAAGCGAAGGTTTACGGCTTCATCAAGATAGAGAAGAAGGACTGCGTGAACCACGTCCACAAGCGGATGGGAGCTGCCTTGCGCAACGTTGTTGAGAAGAAGAAGGCACAAGGCGAGTCACTTGGTGGGAGAGGAAAGCTGACACAGGAAAAGATCAAGAAGATCACTAACTATTATGGCTATGCTCTCAGGAGCAACAGCCATGACGTTCCAGGGATGAAGAGGGCGGTGGAAGCCACACTCCTGCACATGACCTCCACAGACGGCGCCCCAGACCACAGCAAGTGCCCCGAGGGAGCGGAGTCCTGGTGCAAGTACAACAGGGCCTTGGCAAACAGTGAGCCTCCGCCGCCGCACAAGAATCCTCTTCCGGATTGTGTTCGGGCTGCACTGGAGCCAGTGTTTGAAAGGCTCAGCAATGAAGACCTGTTGGCACGGTGTAGTGAGGGAAAGACGCAGAATGCCAGTGAGAGCCTGCATTCGGTGATCTGGACGCAGACTTCAAAGAATGCGAATGCCTCCCTGGACAGCGTGAAGAGGGCTGCGGCTGAAGCTGTTGCTGTCTACAACCAGGGAAGGAGAGCGACCAACGAGTCCATTGCTGCAGGCCTGGGCTACGCCACCGGTGACTGCCTTGTCCGCCGAAGCATCGAAAAGGACAGTCTCCGTTTACGTAAAGCAAACGCGGTGCACCAGAGCAGCAGTAGCGTGAAGGAAAGGTTCTCCAAGCGACACCAGGCAGGAGCATCACGAGATTACAGCCCAGGACAGCTGTAATGGCTTTTTCCAGTGCCATGTGGAACAAAGGCCCTTTTCAGGGCCAAACAAAATTACGTTTGGAGCTTGAAACTCTTGCTCGCCTCTCCCGTTGTCCAAAGTTGTCGGCTCATCACTTTAGAAGCAATTTTTAGCCTGTATCAGTAATTCTTCATCATTTTTGCAATCTTCTCAAAAACAAATTATTGCAATTTTTAAAATTATTTGTTCAGAATGCACTACACTACATCTTGATAACTATTATTGCATAAGGGTTTTCACATAATTTATTGTAGTCAGCGTCGAAACAGGAAAATGTGATTTTATCAACATTTCACTCGTTCTTTACTTCTTTCATATTTTTTTCCTAATGTTCCCATAAATGGATTACATCATCTTTTATGTCAAGTTGTTAATGAAGACTTACACTACACCTTGGTGGCAATTATTATTTATCATTGTTCACACAATTTTCTATGTTCAATGTCAAAACTTTAACTTTGATTTTCTCATCTTCATGTTTTTTGTCAACGTGCTTAGCCTTACGGGGGTTTTCATGAGGTTTTTATCGTAGCATTTTGAAACTTTTTATACCGTTTTATTCAGAAAGGACTGGACTGTGGAGTAAAGCTATTTTTTTGCAGTTGATAATGACAACGAAAATTTTATGATAAATAATGCGACCTCATTAGTGTCATAATTAGCATAATTAGTACATTTTTGTATTATAATGTAATTTTGTGAAAATATAAATAGCTTTATAATGCATGGCAGACCTTTAGCTATGCATCTACATCAATAAAAAAAAATATTTTTGTTCGAAATGGCCTTAACGACCCGTAAGAAATTAACCAAATTAGGCAACACTATTTTTTATAACTTGAAAACTAATTGAGATATTTTGAAACTGATTTCATATTTGAATTGAGGAAGAAGGAATACATATGCACAGTGATTTTCATTAGTATAGCTGCAAAAATAAAATAGTCCATTTTAGAACCAGTCTCTCGCCTTAAGAGGATTTTTTTTTTTTTTTTTTTCATATTTGTGAACGGTAACAAACTGAAGAGGACACACAAAGGGTGCTTTTGAGTCCCTAGTTTTGCAATAGCTTTTAATCTGAGGACCACAACCTAACTTCCACAAAACACATCTGGAAAGAGGTGCAAGCACAAGTACTTTTGGGTTAAAAGAATCAAACTTATTAATAGACAACTAAAAAGTAAACTTGCTTGGGAGAAGAGCGTGTTGGTTCGAGTCATGGATGAAGAAAGAACGAAACAATTAAAACAAGAACAACGCAACCACATCTTTCAACTAGCAACAGACGAGTAAAATTTTCACAGCGAGCAGCCGACTATAGACCATTCCATTTAGCGCTCTTTGGTCGGCACCATTCTGTTCGACAACAGCGCCCTCTCCATACATCCGGGAAATTCAGCGGGTTCGGGGGGGTAAAACGAGAGAGAGGGCACGCTTCCGACTCCGCTAGGAGACGACAAAACGGGAGGTTGCCATTCTCCACCTTGGGCTGTATCGGCGGGCTGTACTGAACATCGAACTCTCGCTTGTGGCTGCCGTTGTGAAGTGGTTCGCGTTCTAAGAATAGTTATGGCTACTCCAAAATAAGCCTAGAGCTCTCTGTTGTTCTACTTCGGTAAATGATCAACTGACATATCTTTTTTCCGTTGCTTAAATAACATTTGAGTCAGCCGGCAGTACTACACTCAACTACTGCGTGTATTGCGGTAGGAGAGCACGTTTTTATTTATTATTTCAGACATCCACTCATGTTCGCTAAAGGCCTACACCAGTACAAACTTTGTATAGTAAAAAAAAATACAGCCACCGGATTCACTTTTTGCCGGAGAGACCGGCCAGTCTGACACAGTTTTCCTTATTTTTTTTTTTTATTTGCACGGAAATAACAGCGCAATTGGACTCTGTTAGTCTTCTTTATCTAGCATAGTAATACACGATAACTGGCATACCAAAATCTGCGCATCTGCGCTTGAAATTCCCAAAATGACGCGATTTTAAACAGAGTTTGTACGCCAGCCGGATGCTAGGTACTGCCCACTCGGCAGAGCAGACGACATCCGGGCGAGAGGGGGAGGGCATTTTTATCACTTTTTACCCTCTCTGCTATGACCCTAATGGAACAGTCTATACCCAGGAGGGAAAGGGGG